AGTGGTAAATAAATTAGAGAAGAGGGAAGACCTAGAGAGCAAATATCACAATTCTTATACTAGGGGATGTTGAGGATTTTTTTAAAATATTTCCTTGTAAAATTAATTTCTTATATGATTTTAAAATATGACTAATTGGCTACATTTTGATGCCAAGTTTATTCATATACAATAATAATAAGGTAGTTTAATTACATTTTGAATGTAATTCTAAAATGTCATGACATGCATACTTTGACCTGCCCACTGCAAGAGAGTTAAATGTGATATTTGTGTACTTTCACTCTGCCCTTTTTTAAGATATAAATTTTGATTTGTATTAAAAACTGGTACTCTTTAATTATAGAAAGACTGAACCATGTGTTAAATGATATCAAACCAGTTTTTAGGTTGATAATATTAAAGCAATTTAATACAGGGACCTATTAGACCATACTTTAACATTTCACCACTAGATATAATCATATTGACACTAAGTTCCTAAGAGTGTAATTTTTATTGTTGTTGTTTAAAGTATCTATACTGGAATGTGAAATATTGGTCAGATATTCTAAAGGTAGAATAACATCTAGCATTTAGTTTGGTTTATTGTACTTTATGTTTATAAAATATGTTGGTGTTCTGAGATGATAACTAGCATCCCCAAATAGTTTGACTGTCTTCCTCACACATCTGCCTTGGAGATTTACATGCCACTAATTTAGAGGCAACTCCCACCTAATTCCACATTATTTAACCTGAATTGAATTGGTGCATGATGTTGTCATTATGTGAAAAAAAAACTCTCCATCAAGAAGAAGAGACACACCTTCATGCACATTAACCTCTCCTATGCATGTACTCATAGTAACGTCGTTCTTCTCTGTAGTATTGTGTTGAACAGACGTGCATACATTTCTTCTCTGAGTTTAGTTTATTGAGGTATGCATAATTAACTTTTTAAACCCATACTTTTTTGCTCATATTGCCCAAATTATTTTCCTGATTTCCTAATAATTTCCATTTTCTTAATTTTGTGGATAATAACATGGTTTGGAATAGTTTTCAGCCAAAGAGATATAAGTGTTATCAGATGCTGTCACTGTCTGATGGGTAAATTTGGATATTTGGCCAGAAGCTGGAAGCATCTGCTCGAGTTTTAGGATTTAATGAAACTTTGATTTTGATTTTCTTTGGCTTTGATTTTCTTTATGCCTTTTTTAACCTGTATTTTGGTTGACTAGTTGTTAGGAAACATTTTGCTTTTCCCAGTAATACAAGGTGTTTCTTCCCATGTCCTCTCTACTCTGTTCCTCTTCTATATTCTCCTCCTCCAAATCCCATGCCCAGCTGAGGCCTTAACCCTTTTGAGACGGGTCACAGATTAAAGACCATATCATCTCTTTTGTTGACTCGTATTCAAAATTTTATTGAACTACTATTTCATAACTTTGGTATGAAACTGTAGTTTATAATTCAAATTTTAGTACTATACAGTATTAAATTTTTTAATTTAAAAGTAAATATTTAAAAAAAAATAAACATCAATTTTTGTGTGTTACATGGTATGTTGAATGCAACACTGGTTCAAATTAGATGTTTGTGAAGTTAAAATACTAAGTCTACAGTTTTTTACGAATTAGGAAATCATATTATCTACAAATTATTGACAAGCTAGTTTCTATTTGCTAAGATATTGCTCATGGCACTCTGCCCACCTCTTTCCAATTTTGGAAATGCTCTCTTATATACACTTACTTCTATATATGACATGAATAACCAGTCAGAAGCTCAGTGGCTTTCTCAGCCATTTTAACGGGCGTGGATGCCATTTCTTTCTTTTGAATCAGTATTTCAAGGAGTTAGGGTGGGTGTCTTTAGTCTGTTCGAAATTTCATATTTTTTCATTAGACTAAAATACATCTTAGTTACTAAGCTTGATAAATTACAATGGAATTCTATAATATTGATGTAGTAATTTATGATTTTTTAGTTATTCAAATGTATATATAAAACCTAAAAAAAATTATTTTGTTTCTTATCCTCCACGTGCAAAATTTTTAAAGGCTTAGCAACCTGCATCAAGCAGCAACCGAGTACAAAAATTGTAACTTAAAGAGATAATTGTTTACTATACTTCTTTCGTTACTGATGATGACAAAACCTTGTCGAAACATTGTACATTTGCTGTTATGTTAAACTTATCTTAAAGTTTTTCTTCATTACCCATTCAAGCCGTCTCCAACCATTATTTCTTTTGTTACTGTTTTATGTTTTAAGAAAAATATGTTAAAGAACTTATTTCAAAATAGCAATAATCTATATACATATATAATGTATAATAATTGAACTGTATTGACTAGTATTTTACAAAATACTAGTCTAAGCCAAGACATGTTACTTTGTACAGACCAAAGGTCAGTTTTATGTTATTGGATATGGTACCAGGAGTGCATGTGTGCTGCACCATATTAACTTCTGTATTGTTAGCCAGGCACGGCTGTATGGTCAATATAATAAAACTAATAAATATATATAAATGTATAATGTTATGAGATTTAAGCTATTTAGTCTAAGCATTTGTGTTATAATTTGTGTTCATTCTAGAAAGAAATAGGCATAATTTATGTTTATTTCCTAATTTATTATAGTTGTTACGAGATTGATCAAATTTACCAAACCCGTATAGAGATTCATTACTGAAAATAACAGATAAAATGTAGTTTTTTCTTAAGAAACATTTGATAACTATCTGGACATCATAAAGATTTTGCATATGAAATTTGAAAATTTTCTTATGCATAAAGGTATTTTTAATCTTAAAATGAAAATTACTTTGCCTGTTAGATAGGCAACATGCAAAAATAATAAAAAAATAAGAGAAAAATTGCTTTACAAACCTTAAGACTTAATGAAAAAAAATTTATATTTTGCATAAGAATATTTTTGTAATGTTTTGTAACATTTTGTAATGTTTACTGATAGTGTGCCAAATTTCATTAATATTCGCTTACCAATTTAAAAGTTATAGCATGAACACTATAACAAGCACAAAATGGTTAGGAGGTTGGTCCTAGGGACCAAGCCGATACTGAAAAAGTTAATAGTGTTTTGCACAATCTCATTTGAGTCATTGTCTTCCTGTCTTGTATATTTTTTCTCTTCTGACTTGTTTACTCCTCCTCCTCACATATAATTACCATTGTCTGGATGTCTGTTCTATACACTGAGT